GCACAGCAGGGAGGGGAGGCTGAGAGAAAGGGGGAAATTTTTATCTGATTTGAACACTAAAAAAAGTCCCTGCTGCTGCTCCTGCAGTATGGTCTGCCCACCCCGGTGTGGGGGAAGAGGGTAGGAGTACAGGTGCAGCTACCCCTACAGTACCAGTTCTTCCTCCTGAACCCCACTTATATCTTGGATCCACCAGGAAGGCACCAAGTATAAATACTTAGTCAACCAAAATATAGCAAGTCACCAAGCCAGCTTCATCTCCATTAATAAGGCCCCTAATTATGGAGTCAATTGATTTTATGGTTGTTTGTCTAAAACATGCAGAGCTACAGAAAAGCATCTGAAAGAACAAATTAAGAGACTAATCAGGGAAAAACCATATATAAAAAGAAGGAAGAGCTTACCCCTTTTGTCAGTTTTCCATCTTAGCTTGAGTCAAGGCTTAAAAGGGAGGAGAGCTTAGCACAGTCTTGAATTCACACGTCAGTTGTGATATTTGACGCTTGACTGTTCTGAAATGTAAACAAAATGGAACAATTAATCTTCTAGCCTGAACCAGATGAAAATTAACAACCCCCTCAAAAGCAGATATGCATTCAGCTATTAAAAGTCACTGTAGCAATGTGGGCAAAAATTTTACAGCAAAGCAGCATAAATAAGATTTCTACATGGTACTACATTCTACATCTTTTTTTCTGCTTCCAAGAAATACAAAATAAATAAAAATTAAAGTATTTATATGCCACATTTCTTATCTTTTTGGAAAACATACAGGCAAGCTACTTTTCTCTTTCTTTATAAAACCAGTCCATATAAAGATGCATATGTTTTGCTTTCAATTGTCCAACCACACTTGACATATTGACTACTACCTTCCTTCCCCTACCCCTCTCTCTTTACTGTAACTTTTTCCTCCTCACCAGGCATCAGTCATATAAGTATTTTTTTTCTAATTGAGAGAGAATTGAAATAATATCAAAACAATTTTACAGATCACCCGACAGAAGGTTGCTAAATATGGGATATCTTCAACATCACCATCATCAAACAAGTAACTTGTAAAATCCTAAGTGCTCCCACTGCCCTTTTGAGGCGTGGGAACGATGATATACAAGACATGGGAAGCTGCTGTAGCACAGTAATTACCATGTTCCAGCAGATTCGAGTTATTGTCAAGATACAAAGACATCTGTTCTCTTGCAACCTGTGTCACCATAAAAATTTTTAGACAAGCTTGCAGGCATGAAGTGCCCTTCTTCAAACCTTTTGTGTCTCAACAGGTTGCCTGATATCTCTCCCAACTGTATAGCTGGTCTAGAAATATCACGAGGAAAAACTTTGCTTCTTACCTATTTCTTGGACCATACTAACTACAACAATGCTCTAACCCAGTGGTGCTCAACCTTTTTTGACCCACAAGCCAGATGGGCAGTGCCTGGTCCATCTATAGGCTAGATCCAGCTAGTGGTCCCAATCTGGCATCTGGGGTGGTTGCAGCAGGACCCCATCGGCTGTGTTGGGAGTGGGGAAGATGGGTATGGCCCCAATGCAACCCCATAGGGGCTGGGGTGTGGCCCAGCCCCAATCCAGTCACAGTGGTGCAGAGCCCAGCCCTAATCCCATTGCGGGCAGGGGTGAGGGGGTGTAGCCTAGCCCAAATTCTGCTACATATATTCTAGGTACAGTCAACCCTCTTTTCAGAAGTGCTCACTGATTCTGTGCTCAGCACCCTGTTGAAGTCAACAGAATAAACTGCATTAGTGCTATTTTAAACATTTTGAACTTCAACATATTGTTTTCAGATATCTCTCTTCTCCTAACCTCTAACATACAAGAATATTTTGTCTCTCACCCTCCTGCCTTCCCCCCTCCCCATACCCCTGCCTCTCTCTCACAGTCTCCTTTTGTTAGAAAAATACATCTTTGTTAACTATCTCCATGTATTAGTAGGCATACTCCAGTGTAGTTCAACTGGTACCCATACTAACTCCTCCTCCTGCTACTCAGAAGAATTTGAACTTGAATTTGTTCTTATGGTACTGGATCTTACAACTCTGAGGCATTAGTTTGATTTCAACACACGCTGGTAACCAAAATCTCTGTCACATCATCCTATCATTGTTTGGTGCCTATTAACAAAAGGCAGAAAATTTAAAAACAGTTTTAGGTATCACCAATCAGTATATGGGCCCCTTTACTTTTGTGTAGAAGGACACTGACAGGAGACCCTAAGAAAATGTCAGTTCACAGTGCTACCATGATTGTTAAGCTAAATTCAGCAGAAGAATATGTACCGCAACTAAATTGTTATACTGTTAAGTCCTGCTTTTTGTGTACTGTAACTTTGCATTTTAAGGACTATTCTCTTCTGCTTTTTTGAGCTGACAAGACAAATGAAATAAGAGATTCAAACTTAATATTGTGATTAGAGACAATTTTGTCCAATGTTGTTGTTATTAATATAAAATAAAATAACAAAGAAGTATATGGCTGTTTTTGTCTATGAAAAAGATATTAACCAAACAAAACCCTAGCTCCAGAGGGATAACACAACCTTAATGAGCTGGTAGATCCAGGATATTGTACACTGTAGATATTCCCATATATCAAAAAACAGTTCTTTTTTAAGAACATAATTTTACAGAGAGAGAGAGCTAACAACAATTTTAACCTCTAAAATTTTACCAGATCAGATTTTTTAAATCCTAAATACCTATTTATGAAAAAATAGCAATCCCGATTGATACTGGGTAGCAACTACTGGGAAAAGAGAATGTATTCAATTACCAGTAGGTATCCTGCTACTTTGGCTATAATGGAAATACTGTAAATGTAACAACAATAAAAAGCCAACCATTTTTCTACGAAGAGGAGACAGCAGTATTACAGTCACTGTTATTCTGTTTCTCCTACTTTTCATCTGTCAATTAAGTCTCCCTCTGACAATTAAAAATTATACTGCATGCCAAGCCACAATAAAGTACAAATATAACTGAGTAAATAATGTGAAAGCTCCTACTTAAATTTTCTGACAATTCAACTAATTCATTCACAGAAAATATTAATGTAATACTTCAGTCTACAGCACAACCACTAAAGTACAGAATTAATAATGCAGATAGATTTTGTTCCAAGTTAAAGCAAACTGATTATTTTTCCCCATGACAACCGTGGCACTGCATTACCAACCTGAACTACAAGCATCTTCTGTCACAATTTGCCACCAATTATACACATATGCTGAAGACTATTTTTACTTTAAATTGAATAGGAGCTAACCTAAAGTTAAAGGATCCAAATCCACGAAGATTAAAAATCACTCTTTGCTGAACACTTTAATTATGCTATTTTAGGAAGTCAATATACAATCATTATGGGCAATCAGTTGTTCCTGTAGCTAAAGTGATTCATATCTTAAGAAAACCTACTGTTTTCACTGCCTAGCACACCTATGAAAGAAATTTTAAAACTCTGAATCACTCAAGATTTCAGTTGTGCAGTCTGCAAGGAGAGAAATATGTCTAAAATTACACTTACAGCACTTGTCACTTACTAACAATATATTCCAGAGATGACGTACCCTGGTATCTGTTTACACATTCACAGAAAAAAAAATTATATATAATTTCATTCATTCACATTTTTTAAATGTATTCCTGCCATAATAGGATAGTGTTTCCATAGCACATACTTTCTTTGCCTGGTTTTTCCATGGCAACTGTATTATTCTGTCTGACCTCATAAATATTTATTACACATGAAACTGAGTTTACTCTATACATAACATAAGGGAGAAATCAAAACAAAGGTTTTACTCTGCTGTCAGCTGGCAAGTAAGAACAGGCTGTAAAATATTCCTTCATAAAAACCTATAGAAGTTCTAAAAGCAGATGAACTCTGTTAGTTAGTTAACCAAAGTAAACCCTAGCTCCAAAGGGTAACACATAATTTTAATGAGCTGGTAGAATCAGGGTCTATTATATTGCACACAGCAGATATCCCTGTATGTTCAAAAGCAGTTTTATTTCTGAACTAAAGACAGGTTTAAATTGTTCTTTGATGAGGAAGGAAGGAAGTAATTAAAGAGTAAATATTTCTAAAGTATTCCAAAATAAAAAGTAAGGTTTCCATGAGCCTAAAGTGAAATACAAGAACTGCAATCCAACTGGAGCTGAGCAGAAAAGGAGAATAAGATGTCATAAAAACATACTCTTCTCAACAGAAATAAAAAACAAAACTTAAAATATGACAATTTTGGGGAGCAGCATTTTAAGTTTTGAACAACTCCCCAGTCCTGAAACAAACAAACCACCACCATAGGGGAGGAGAGCCAACTTCTAGTGTAAGAGTAACATAGGAGAAACTAAGAAAAGAAAAATACTGCATCTATTATCTACTTTATATTTTAATCACGCATAGTCCCAATTGCTGCTGTTAGTAAAGATTTCTCATCACACTTAACTCAAGTAGATGGACATATGTGAAAATTGTTTTGTTTCATTTTGGTTTTTTTTATTGTTTTTGGTTTTGTTTTTTTAAACCATTTTCCATCTCTCTTTAGATGTCCATACATTTGGGCACATACAATGGTATCTTGATTTTACAGATGGAAAGATACAAAAATACTGTGCTTCAAATTCTCTAATGTAACTTTCTTGTAATTTCTATACAGAATACATAATGATATGGAGTAAACTGTGCAAATTTTCCTGTGGTACTTGTATAATATACACATAGATACATATAATGAGTGAGCATTTTGGCCATCCTAATCTTATGCCCATAAAGACTTAAAACTGTAGCCATCTTGTAATTTTGTATGACGTTCATACAACTTACATGCAATATATATTGATGGTATTTTAGATTAATTTACTCTAAAAGGAAATGTAAAGGCAGCACATTTTTGGTGCGTATTTATTCTGTTTTCCAGACGCGTGCTAATTTCGACTTTCAGCATGCTCATCTGACCAAGCTGTACCCACATCATTACCATTTTTTAAATTAAGGACAGAAGCATGAATTGATATTGGTATTCATCAAGATTAACTGTAACTAAATTATAGTTTCTAACCTCTGAAAACAAAAATAAATACATAATGAAGATAATTTTGGTTCAAGTCCACAACTGATGTAAAACTACTGTAATTACAATAGCTTTAGACTGGCTCATACTGTCAGAAGAGAAGCATAGGTACATTTTTATTTGGTTCCAGAATGCTTTTCAGAGGAAAAGGATTTCAAACAGGTTCTAGGTAGCCCAGACCAAAACTCTAAAAAACAACAACAATAATAAAATGCAGCTTAATATGAAATGTTTGATAATCAAACATCAGTTATTGGATTCTACTGTTTCTATGGTTGAAAAACTAGTTTTAAAAGGTTGGGTTTTTTTAAGTAAACAAAACACCCTGAAATTTCAAATTACGGAAGACGATGTTAAAAAAAACAAACCAGACTCAGAATAAAAAAAGCTAAGGTAATTTTAACAGTAAGGCTAATTAATCATTAC